GTTGATGTTGATTCTATTAATGGTTTCTTATGTTAATTCACTTTCAGATGTAAAACCAACATTTCTTTCCTGGGTTAAATTTCCGTGTGGTCATGCTGTTCAGGTCATTTTATCTATTGTTGGATTCACTGTACTAGTATTTTGTGGAGCGTTTTTCATCTATATTGAAAAGAGAGATTTGTGTACTGAATTATAATGTAGTATATAGTATAAAATTATCTAATGCTGCATATAGTGTATATCTTTGTGTGTCTATGTATATATATAGACAGAATTTATAATACAGTATGTATACGTGTCTATATTAATATATATGTTATAGGTAGTGTATTACCTGTATATACTATAGGTAGTATATAGTATTGTACAGAATTAGTATATATTATGTATAAATAGAATATATTATATATTAACATATTTATAATTAGTTTTGCAGTGTATAGTATAGTGTTATGCTTTTAAAGAATAGTATTACAGTCTTATCAGTCTGTAGCGTAGTGGGTGTCATTACCGTGTCTGTCCACAGAGTTACTCAAATAAGCCATTCACATCCTCCCATGGGCTCATAGGGGCCCCTCACTGTCTTGATACTCCAAAGCCTGGCTCCCACACCCCCTGTTTGTTTTCTCTGCTTCTGAGTGCAACTGAGGTGTCAGTATGTGTTTCAGAAATTGTAACTAGTTTTTCAGCCTGAGGGTTGAAGTGAGGCTCTGTCGTTTGATTTTTAATATGTGCAGAGACATGTGGGACCTGCTTATGTATTTGAGTAAGTATGAGCAAGATTATCCCAGAGTGCTTTCTCCCAAAGCATGACCTTGGATAAGTAGCTGATGTTCTTGTTGCCAGGCAGCTAGACCATAAGAGTCTCAAAATATGAAGATGGTGTTGACATGCAGGGCATCTTCCAGCATGAATGCCTGCATGTTGACTAATCCTGCTGACCATTAGGTCCTGTCTTTGATCAGGGATGGCCTGGTTAGGGACCATCATATGATGGTCATAAGACCACCATTGATATGAAAATAGGTGCAGGATTTATTTTTTCGTGAACCAGAAAGCAAAGCATAGTTCATAAAGGAAAACACACGTCCTTTGCATTTCAAAGGGAAGAAAAAAATAGGTACTTAAATTGCTTCTTTGTAGACAAATGCTGAAAAGCCTTACAAGAAATGAACTACATTGTTATCCACATGAGCATGGGGAATCTAGAAGCCAATGCTAGAATTCATGTTAGGACCAGCCTCCAGGCACGGTTTTAAAAATATCAGGCTGAGTTATTGAAAATTGATATTCATGATAAACAAAAAAAAATTGTATTAACCGTATTTTATTTTATTTTTGTGAGGGAGATCAGCCCTGAGCTAACATCCCTGCTAATCCTCCTCTTTTTGCTGAGGAAGACCGGCTCTGAGCTAACATCTATTGCCAATCTTCCTCCTTTTTTTTCTTCCCCAAAGCCCCAGTAGATAGTTGTATGTCATAGCTGCACATCCTTCTAGTTGCTGTATGTGGGACGCGGCCTCAGCATGGCCGGAGAAGTGGTGCGTCGGTGCACGCCCGGGATCCGAACCCGGGCCGCCAGCAGCGGAGCGCATGCACTTAACCGCTAAGCCACTGGGCCGGCCCCGTATTTTATTTTTAATAGTGTTGAATAACAAAAATTCAACTGAATAAATTTTAAATGTCTAATTGGCTTTATTGAGCAATTCATTAATTAGGCAGCATCCCATGTTGCAAGTAGAGAGGAGGAGGTCCATAGGACTATAGAAAGGGAAAAGTTTTAAAGCCAGGAGAAGCAAGTCATAAGCAGAATAAAAGGATTATTTCAGGCAAAGTTACCTTCCTTTGGGGACGCAAGGGTATTGTTAGGTGGATTACCACATCTTCTTTTGGGAATTGGAGAGGGCCCATTACCTCATTGGTACAGACCAGAAAATTCTAGACTGACCTGAATGAGATTGAAGCTGCAGTTAGGTTAAATAATAAACCCTGGTTTGGTGATGTGGGACTAGCAAAAGTGACTCCATTTGGGGCCTGTGGTTTTCTTGTTAACAATAGTTTATAATCAAATGACTAATGTATCTTTAATGGGAGGCCAGAGCTCTATGTGTTAATTGTCTAAATAATAATTTTTTCAAGTGTGCAATACATTTTAACTATAAAATATTAATTTTTTCAATTGTTTCTCTGTAAAATGACAAGTGATACTACAGCCTGTAGTGCCATTGTATATCAATCTGGAGAGGATTTCTGATATGGGCCGTGTATTAAGTGCACTAGAGTTGTATCATAATGTAAGCAGATGCACTGACCCACTCCCCAGTGAAACTGGTAAAAACTAATTTAAAACAACCATTTAAACCCTCCGGAATTCGTTCTAAGGGCAAGCAGCAAATGAGGAACATGTATTCAAGAAAACTGATAAATATTCTGTGAGAAAGGGGAGAGTGTGTGGGATTTGAACCATGTCCACTCTCTCCCCACTCTCAGCTCAGCAAGTGAACACTCCTCTCCAGAGTGCTGCACCCTGAACCAGAAGACATGATTCTGTCTCCCTAAGCTTCCAGAATGGGGGCTTTTTCCCAGGAAGAGCAGGACTTCAACATTACCCATCCTGCCCTCAGCTACATATTCATGAATTTAAGTCCCTCATTGGTTCACATGAGAACCCGGGACCCCCTTCTTGCACCCAGCCCCTTCTCCTGGTACAGAGGCTCTGCTGTGCTCATGGTTTGCTGAGAATACTGGGCACTGGTCACTCTTTCCCCAGCTCATGAGGTGGCTGTAACAGGAGACAATCAAGAGGACCTCTGGCTGCTGTCTCTCCACTGCACTGATCACTCAGCCCCTAAAATGGGATTATCACCCAGGGAGAGGCTTCCTAATGTCCCCACCACAGCTCCAGTGTCCTGGCACAGAGATTTTTCCTGAACATGGGGGAGAAGCCAGCTCTAAAACACAAACCTGTTAATTCTTTTCCCACGGAATTAACTTGGCCAGCAAAAGATCATGAAAAGTTCAAGTCAGATGACACTTTGAAAAGAAAAAAGCGGAGAATGAGGTGAAAGGCGAGTAGATTTGTGTATTTAATGAAGATACTGCTTAGACTATAGGCTGACTAGTTTCTGGAAAGAACCAGAGAGTTTGACTGCTGGGAGGGTGCTTTCAAAGGTCAGAACAAATATCAAACAGTGGCTTCAGAAAGTATTTCTACAAAGGAGCCAGAACTTCACTGGAGTATTTGATAAAGTTATGCCCCCCAGCACATTGGTGAAAACAGGAGAGCAATCAGCCAGCAATTAATCTAGTTTAACCATGTGGTGCGTCCATGATGGAGGAAGAGAGCCCTACCAGTACCTCTGTCTCATGCCAGTAGACGTACCCAAAGCCATGCTGGATTCTAGGAGATAAATCAGAGGTTTCACTCTGTGTGGAGGATACAGACTTAACTAAAATAATCTACCCAGTCACTGAACAAGCAATTAAGCTAATAACAATAAAAAGTAGAAGTAGGAAGGGAACCAGAACCCAGAGTTGCTAAAACATACTGCCTTAAATGTCTGGTTTGCATCAGAAATATGAGACATGCAAAGATAAAGGAAAGTAGGAACTATACACTGGGAAAAAAACAGCAATTGAAAAATAACCCAACTATTGCAGGAAACCCCAATAAAACTAGCAAGTGACATCTCAGCAGATAAAAGAGAGGTCAGAAAGCAGAGGGATAACATATTCAAAGTGCACAAAGAGAAAACGTATCAACCAAGAATCCTATATTCACTAAAATTACCGTGCAAAATATAAAGCTGAAATAAAGACTTTTTCAGATTAGCAGAAACTGAGAAAATTTCTTAACAGCCAACTGTCTTAGGAGATTACTGCAGGAGTTCTTCAGGTTGAAAGGAAGTGACCCAGAATGGTAATTGATATCAACAGAGAGAAACAAAAATGCCACTATCAGTAATTATGTAAATATGAAAGGCAGAATAAATAAGTTTTTTATCCTTTTTCTCTTAGCTGTTATCAAAGGAATTGTATAAAATACTATACATTTCATATGCTGTTGTGCTTATTCCATATAGAAGTGTAATATGTGTATAATTTGTTTCTCATTAAAAGCACAAAGTTCCTGGGTGAGAGCAAAGCTGTGTTGGGCTAAGGAAGTGACTACAGATGGTAAAGAAATAAGTGTAACAATATGTTATTGAATTGTATCATTAATAGAGATAATGTACATAACAGTAATGCCACAAAAATGGCAAAAGGGAAGAGCGGTATATAGGAGTAAACATTCCCTTTATCCCTGGAATTAAGCTAGTATACATTCGAAGTTTATTCTTATAAATTAAGAAGTATGTGTTAAATAGTAGAGTAACCCCTAAAAAAAAACTCCAAAAATATAGTGAAGTCATTTAAAAATTAAACTGCCACATTGAGAACATCATTTCTGTATCATAAAGTATAGTTTCACTTCCCTAAAAATCCTGTGTTCCACCTATTGATTCGTCACTCCCCCAACCCCCAAATCCTTAACAACTAAAGATCCTTCTAATGGCTCATACTTTTCTCTTTTCCAGAATGTCATATACTTGGAATCATACACTACATAGATTTTGTCACATTGGCCTCTTTCCCTTAGCAATATCCGTTCAAGATTCCTCTGTGTGTTTTCATGGCTTGATACTTCATTTCTTTTTATCACTGAACAGTATTTCACTGTATGGATACACCATTGATTGTTTTGTCTATTTGATTCTTGAGGGACATCTTGTTTAAAATTCGAAGACTTGCCAATTGTGAATATAGCACCTATAAACATTCAGGTGGATGTTTTGTGTGAACATAAGATTTCAGTACACTTGCAAAAATACCAAGGAGTGTGATTACTGGATCTTACTCTACGTAGTAACTCTGAATTTTGTTTTGAAAGAAGGTTCCTGTCTTCCATTGTAAGTTACCAAATTCCATTTCCACCAGCAATGAATGAGGCTTACCTGTAGCTTCACATCTTCACCAGTATTCTGTGTTCCTAGTGTTTTAAGTTTTAACCATTATAATAAGTGTTTAATGATACCTCATTGTTGTTTTATTTGCAATTTCCCAATGACATTTGCTGTGGAGAATGTGTTCATATTGCCTATTTCCCGTCTATATATCTTATATCTTCTTCAGTGAAATGTCTGTTCAGATCTTTTGCCCATTTTTAATTGGGTTGTTTGTCTTTTGACTGTTGAGTTTTAAGAGTTCTTTGGATATTTCAGATACAAGTCATTTATCCAATAAGTGTTTTACAAAAACTTTCACTTACTCTGTGAGTTGTTTTTATTGTCTTAACACTGTATTTCTCAGAGCAGTAGTTTTTCATTTTAATGAAGTAAAATTTTTGGTTTTTTTCCTTTTGTGGACCTTGCTTTTTGGTTTCATATCTAAAAATTCATCTGAAAACCCAAGGTCATCTAGATTTTCTCCTATGTTACCATCTAGGAGGTCATTCCATTTTGCATTTAAATCTGTGATGTGTGTTGAGTTAATTTTTGTGAAATGTATGGGGCCCGTGTCTACATTTGTTTTGTGTGTGTGTTTGCATGTGGCTACCCATTATTTCCACCACTGTTTGTTTAAAAGACCTAATTTTTCGTTTGAATTGCCTTTCCTTCTTTGTCAAAAATCACTTGACTGGGGCTGGCCTTAACCAACTGGAGCGGTTAAGTGTGAGCTCCACTCCAGTGGCCCGGGGTTCACAGGTTCGGATCCCGGGCACGCACCGATGCACCGTTTGTCAAGCCATGCTGTGGCGGCGTCCCATATAAAGTAGAGAAAGATGGGCACGGATGTTAGCCCAGGGCCAGTCTTCCTCAGCAAAAAGAGGAGGATTGGCATCGGATGTTAGCTCAGGGCTAGTCTTCCTCACACACACACAAAAAATCACTTGATTATATTTGTGTGGGTCTATGAGGAAAGCAATGGACTCATATCCTGCAACCTTGCTATGTTCTCTTATTAATTCCAGGAGTTAATTTCTGTTGTGAATTCTTTAGCCATTCCACTGACTATCATGTCATATGGAAAAAAATGTTATAAATTTAGCTACAGGATTCATAAAGATGTTCTTTCTTAAGAAGTGGACATCCTCTTTATTACCAGTTTGTTATAAATGGATGTTGGATTTTATGAAATCCTTTTTTATTTTCATTTTTCCCTCCTTTCCTTTCTGATATTAGTAATTTCTGTCTTCCATCCTTTCCTTGTTTTCTTGAATAGTGTTTATCAATTTTATTAGTCTTGTCAAAGAACCATTTGTTTTCATTTTCTCCATTGATTTCGACAATGACATTGATTTCTTTTCTTTTTATTTATTAATTAATTTTTTATTTATTCTTTTATTGTGCTTACTTTAGGCTAAATGTGCACTTCTTTTTATTGTTTCTTAAGTTAGATGCTTACATTATTGATAATAGATCTTTGGTTTTTCCAGTGTATTTGTTCAATGGCAAAAATTTCCCTCTAGGCACTACTTTTGCTGCTTTCCAGAACCATTGGTATGTTGTGTTTCATTTCCTTTAGTTCAAAAGAAATTTTTATTTCTCTTGAGACTTCATCTTTGATCCAATGTATTATTTAGAAGTGTGTTATTGTTTCTCCACATATTTGAGGTTTTCCAACAATCTTGATGTTATTCACTTCTAGATGAATGTCTAGGTGGTGTGAGAGCATATTTCCCATGTGTTCTGTTTTTTCAAATTTGATTAGGTGTGCTTTCTGTCCCACAATGTGGTTTGTCTTGGAGAATATTCCATGTGACCTTGAGAAGAATGTATATTCTGCTGTTGTGTATGAAGTATTCCATAGAGTATAATGAAATCCACTTGTTTCATAGTGCTCTTCAGTTCACCTCTGTCATTCCTCATCCTGCCTACTGGAATTTATAACTCTTGGTAAGGGCGAGTTGAATTCTACAGCTGTAGCACTGGATTCATCTATTTCTCCTTTGCCCCTCTGTTATGCAGGTACACATGAAGCACTGCTGTGCCTTCTTGGAGAATAGACCCCTTTATCAGTGTCTAATGCCCCTCTATCTCTGCATTTTTCTTAGTTTGAAATCTGCATTGTCTATAATTCATATACTGATGGCAGCTTTCTTTTTACTAGTGTTGGCATTGTCTATTTTTCTCCATCCCTTTACCCTTCATCTATCAGTGTATATAAAGTGTATTTAAAGTGGGTTTGTTGTAGACAATATATAATTGTGTTCTTTGAAATCTGATATTACTGTGTGTTTCAATTGTATTGATACCATTGATAATTAAAGCTGATATTGATAAAGCTGGATTAATATTTATGAGGTCTTTGACTGTTTTCTAGTTTTTGCCCTTGTTTTTTTTTCTTTTTGTCTTCCACATTTTTCTGTCTTCTCTGGCTGAAATTGTGCAATTTCTCTGATTTCTTCTCGTCTCTTAGAATATCGGTTACACATTTTTGAAAAGCATTTTTTAGTGGTTCCTCTTGAGTTTTCAGTATACATTTACAACTAACCCACCTCCTCTGCCAAATAACAGTATGCCACTTCACTGTTGTGCAAGTACCTCTTAACACACTATCCCCAGTTTCCCCTTCCCATTTCTTTGTCATGTTGTTGTCATTTATTTTACTTGTCCATAAGCTTCATGTATTGTATAATCATCAGCAAATTGACTATCAAACCACTGTGGGCTTCAGTGAACTTGGTTGCATTCTGCAGCTCTTAACCTGCCCCTCAAGGCCAGCAAGGCTCAAGGTACATTGTTAGGGTTTGACTGGAAAGAGCTGTTCTGGCACATTGTTATCTCACTGTGTGTTCTAAAAATTGGCAGGAAGTAGCCTTGAGGCACTTGAATATAGGGATTTTATGGTCTAATTGGTCATGCCTTCTTCCTTGTGTCTGAGCTCTAAGTTCCAAATAACTTTCTAGCCCCACTAAATCACACAGAGACAGAGAGAAAGAACTGAGTGTATGATAAATATTACGCATTAAAAGTGATGCTTCCCCCCAAGAAGGTTTACATTCACCAGCTGCATCTGATTCCTTGTAATGATCTGGAGGAATCTAGGACAATGTGGCCAGTTGGGCTTCATTGTAAGTCTGATTTCTACGGGTCTCCTGGCCTCTCTTGTTGATGACGGGAGTACACAAAAAGTTTCCCATTCTTGACTATGTTTTTATCGATTGAAACCTCATGCAGATTTCACCCTCTGCCTCATGGAGTGCTGTGACTGGTGGGTAATAAGGAAGAAGATGAAAGAATTTTTCTCACAAGGAATCATCAGTCTTAAAATGATATTTGCTTTATTTCTATAACATTTGTGTCATTTCCTAATATACTCTGTACCCTGCCATTACAGAGAAATATGATGTAATGTGATCACAGTACAAATACATAAATAATTTCCATGTGTTCATAATACTGTTAAATTGATGAGCAAGTGTGCACAGAAAATGAGTGGGTTTTTGATGATCACAACATAGAATAAATGTTTGGAGATGACAGAATCATATGTAACCTTCCTACATATGGAGTACAGATCCCCAGTGCTGTCAGCCTTATGCATCCTACTCTACACATGTTTGTGATGTTTCAGGACTCAGTGGCCATTGAGGATGTGGCTGTGAACTTCACCCCAGAGGAGTGGGCTTTACTGGATCCTTCACAGAAGAAACTCTACAGAGATGTGATGTGGGAAACCTTCAGTAACCTGGCCTCAATGGGTAAGACTGAGGACATTCCTTCCCTTCATCAAGTAGAGAACAAGTGTTTCTTGCCCATCAACATGGTTCCAATATGTAGAATGTGGAAACAGGGGGTGTTTGTAAATAAACTAGAAATGGTCATAGCTCATCATGGACTTAAAGCTAATTTTTTTTCTATAATTTCTAATACTTTGGAATCGTCTTTCTGGGTCTGCATTTTAGGAAAAATATGGGAAGATCATGATATTGAAGATCAGTATGAAAACCGGGAAAGAAAACAGAGGTGAGTATATAGAAAACAGTGTCTGATGTGAGAATTCTGGTATGTTGTGAAATTTTAAAGAGAAGCAAAGAAAACAAATAACGCTTGCTTCAAATTTAGCTATTCTTAGAAAATTTTTATCAAATATGCTTTCTGAAATGTGATGTAGAGGATCAGTTTTTGCAAAATAGTTCCCTTGGAAACAGGATTAATAAACTCTATATAGGAATATCACTGTTTTGATAACATGAAGGGTGAAAACCTCTTGTAGAGCATTCATTATATTCAGTTTCTGTGAATTGAGACAAGACAGAAAACCTAAACTTTTCCTATGAATCATAATCAATATAACAAATATAAAATCATTAATAAAGAAATCATTAATAATGTGCTCCTTATTTCTTACAGTGGTTGTATAGCAGGGAGACTCTGTGAAAGTGAAGAAGGTAGTCAACATGGAGATAAATTCAGCCTTACTCCAAATCTCAGTCTGAACAAGAAGACTATAGGAGTTAAACGATATGAATGCAGTCTATGTGGAAAAGCCTTCATGCATCATTCATCCCTTAATAGACACATTAGATGTCACACTGAACAAAAACCATATGACTATCAAAACTATGGAAAGAAGTTATGTAAATGTAAGGAATGTGGCAAAGCCTTCCCTGTTCCCAGTGCTCTTCAAAGACATGAAAGAACTCATACTGGAGAGAAACCTTATGAATGTAAAAAATGCAGTAAAGCATTCGCTTGCTCCAGTTACCGTCGAATACATGAAAGAATTCACACTGGAGAGAAACCCTATAAATGTGAAAAATGCAGTGAAGCATTCACTTCTTCCAGTTCTCTTCAAGTACATGAAAGGAGTCACACTGGAGAGAAACCTTATGAATGTAAAATATGCAGTAAAGCATTCACTGCTTCCCGTTCTCTTCGAGTACATGAAAGAATCCATACTGGAGAGAAACCCTATAAATGTAAAACATGCAGTAAAGCATTCACTTTTTCCACTTCCCTTCGATTACATGAAAGAATCCATACCGGAGAGAAACCTTATGAATGTACAAAATGCAGTAAAGCATTCGCTTTTTCCACTTCTCTTCGATTACATGAAAGAATTCATACTGGAGACAAACCCTATGAATGTAAAAAATGCAGTAAAGCATTCACTTTTTCCACTTCTCTTCGAGTACATGAAAGAATTCATACTGGAGAGAAACCCTATGAATGTAAAAAATGTGGTAAAGCATTCGCTTCTTCCAGTACTCTTCGAATACATGAAAGAAATCACACAGGAGAGAAACCTTATGAATGTAAAAAGTGCAGTAAAGCATTCACTTCTAACAGTTCTCTTCGATTACATGAAAGAATTCATACGGAAGAGAAACGCTATGAATGTAAACAATGCAATAAAGCATTCACTTCTTCGCGTTATCTTCGATTACATGAAAGAATTCATACCGGAGAGAAACGCTATGAGTGTAAAAAATGCAGTAAAGCGTTCACTTTTTCCGGTTCTCTTCACTCACATAAAAGAATGCATATTGGAGAGACCCCATGAATGTAAAAAATGCAGTAAAGCGTTCACTTCTCTTAGATCACTTCAAAGACATGAAAGAAGTCGCATAGGAGAGAAAGCCTGTGAATGTCAGGAAACTGGTAAAGCATTTATTTCTGAAGCAAACTTTTGAGGATATGCGAGAATGCACACTAGAGGAAAAACCATGTAAAGGTAAAGAATGTGGGAATGCTTTATGTCATCCCAGATTTTTCTGAAGGCATGATAGAAACGTTACATATTTGAATGTAAATAGCATGGGAAAGACTTCATTTGGCCTACATACTTCTGTGTGTAACTTCCAACCAGAAAGAAATATAAATGTAAGTAACATGGGAAAACTTGTTTGTGTATAATGTTCTAGAAAACTTTCAACATGAAAGAGTTGTTATAAAGTTTGTAAATATATTGTGTTTTCTAAGCCACTTAAAGTGCCACATTGGATTGTGGGTTTCTATTAATAAAATGAATATTGAGATAATTCTACAAGTTATCCTTCATCAATACTATATAAAGATTAATAGGTGGTACTTTCCTCTTATATCAGTTAATATTTTCTCTTTAATTTTTAATGTTTTAATTGTTCTGTGTTAAAAGGCCATTGAAAAATGACAGTTTGTAGTTTTGCATTTGCTTCCTGGCCTTATATTGCAGTTCCCAGATTTGCCTAATCCATTGTGCATTTTGTACCTTTCTTAGAGAGAGCTCCTTTTTTGGGGTGGTGGGTGTATGAGCCTGTTTTTATTTTCCACACTTGGAACAGTTGGAATGAAGTTTTATGTATGGCAGGTTTGTCAGTATACTTTCCTGTGAATTTATTTTCACGTTTGGGCCTTTGCTCTTTGTCCTTCCTTCTGACTGGTATTTGGTGAATAGACATTGAATTAAGTAGAGGCCTGTGATAGGGCAACAAAATCTAGAGCTGGAGACATCACCCCTATAGTGTATTATGTCCATGTGGGTAATATTAAGAACTGGATCCTTAAGAATCCATCCCCTTTGTACTTCCATGTTGGAATTCACCAGTAGCCTCACTTGCGTGAGATTAGGAAGACAGAAGCAAACAAGGCATTGGTGAGATTTTGGAGCCACCATACAGGGAGAGAGACAGTTACATAGGAGCTTCGAGGATGCCATCCTCAATCCCGTTTTCTGGATTCTTTGCCCTTCTAAGCAAGAGTATCTTGAAAAGCACCACCAACTGTTGGGACTTGCATTTTCTTAGAGTTGTCTTTTCCTCTTATATTTTCACAAGTTTCACATCAAAGATCCATTAGAGTTAGGATTTTTCTGTAAGGTCTCTTGTATCCAGCAGGAAACTAATTCAGACTTTTGTGGTTGGGAGTATTCTCTGATTCCCCTCTTCTCTAGATGATAGCTGTGTAAGGTCTAATTATGCTATTAATAGTGCTAGTGAGTGTGTTTCCTGATTCACCGTGAAGATCTACAATAGGGCAGTAAAAAAAAGGACCTGGGAATTTGTTTCTCTGCTGCATTGTGCAGTGGCTGCCTTGACCCGGTTCTTCACGTGAGAACAGTCCCCTTTCTCATGTCAGGAAGACAGTGTGTGTTTCCTGTTAGTTATAGCTGAATGTATTCCCTCAATATGTTTTAAATAATGTTTGATTGTATGTCATTAAAACTATGCGTTTCCTTGTGAAATGAACACTTCTGTAGTTGTTTCATTGATATATTTTATCAACTGTTCTAATCCAGCATATGCTAATAAATATTCGTGTGCTTTTCTTTCCTAAGAACATATTAAAATTCATTTTAATTATGGATTTTCAGATATACTTTGCAATTTTCTTCATTTAATCATTATACATTATGAGTCTACTTTGCCATGTGCATACAAATTCAGGTATTTTTTCCTCAGGCAAACTTTAATTTTCTTTCTTTTATAGTTACTATTTTTTTCGTGAAACTAATTTTTAATTTATTCTTAACACAAAACTTAAAAATCATGTTTTTTTAACGCCCTCTTGCCAGTGACCTGCAAGACTGCAGCTGCAGTCAAAGAGAGGGGTGCAGTAAATTCTAAGAAGATTGACCACAGACCATAAAGGACTGTGAGGTGTGACAGTGACAGGGTGCTCAGAAGTCCTCCTTACAAGATGTTGGCATGTGGTTGTGGATTTGATTGCTATTCAAGGAGGAAGGTTGTTTTCTCTATTGAATGCTGTGAGGAGGTAAACATAATTCTGTGTTTGGAAGCATTTTGTCATTGGTAAATATAATCATTCTTTTCTAGAAGGCAAAACAAGGCAGTGGAGCAAAAGTTATTTTCTAAGAAGTTCCAGTCAGTCTTTTTAGTAAGAAGAAGGGAAACTTAGTCATATTTATGATTTAGAATTTTATCTTTTACTGTTTGTACTGGTATGTTACAGAATATTTTTAGTATTGTCCTGGTGACTGTACCTTTGATGAGGGAGGTGTGTGAGATTTTTCTCTTCAGCAGGATGAGACTTGGCCTTGCAGTGACTGCAGGCAGCTCCTGGTCCTCTGGGACAGCTTTTGCCTTTCCTGCTTATTATCAAGACACTGATGTATTTCCTACAGTGTATTAGACACTGTTGACCCTGAAGTACCTCAGTCAAATTATATAAATTCACTTAGTATACTACATAATGTTTTTAATGTCTCCTTTATAACTCACCAGAGGCCTTTGAGTTTAGGTAAATTGTGAGACAATACAAACCTAGCAAGGGAGAGAGACAGGACCACTCTGCCAATCAAGCCTTTCTTTCTCAGGGACTATGCTTTTAATGCTAATGTTTCAACATCCCTCACATACCATGTTGTACCCAATTTAGCAGAAACAATGCAGGTTAGTATTTGGATAGAAGTGCTTGAAACAAACAAGTTCTTGCAGTCCTGCTGCTTATATGTTTGTGGGAAAAGGGAGATGATGACAGATAGTAAAGCTTTATTTATAAGATAGAGACAAGGGCTGTGAAGGAAAGTAAAAAATACCGTTGAGCTAATAGGCAGGCTGAGGTGTGTACATATCTCTTCTGTGAGGGTAGGAGTGAGTGAGGGTATCGTTGTTTAGAGGTAATCATTTAAGGAATAATTCAGGTGAACTTCATCAATATTATTTTGAATAATATCCTAATTGAGTATAAAAGGAGAATGGGAAATTTTCAAGATCTTTTCATCACAGGAGTGGCTGGAAGTCTTTAATTTCAATGATCCACCCAGCCCAGGAGCCCATTTAGCTGTTCACAGGCTTCATTTCCATTGCTTAGACGTCCAGCACATAGTGTGGAAAAGTGGGAAACAGCAGTAACAGCTTCAAGAGGTAAAACAACAAAGGAAATGGAATGTTTTCAATTTTTCTTTAGTGTTAGTTTATGTATTGGAGGGATTTCATTCAAATGGGCACCACAGGAGTGTTTTTCTTCTTTTGATGTCAGTATTTCTATACATCAGTATCTCTGTACATTTGAGAAGACTCATGAGTGCACTTAAAATATTTTATATATGTCTATGTATGTGTTCTATATATAAATTATTAGAAAATGAATAATATAATGCCTTTCACATGCTAGAAAAATGTTAAGCTCTATTGAACCTTGATTTTTTTGTGTTCAAATCTTTCCACCACTGTGGGATCCTTCTTAGGAAGATTGCAGGACTGGGCAAGAAGGACTCAGTCCTCAACAGGCCTTTCCTGCAACGCTGTCTTAATTGAGAAAACACCCCCTAGAGTTGCACCTGCCCTCATCTCATACTCATAACTAGGAGTGAAGTGAAAGGGCTTCCAGAATCTGTCCTTGAGTTTAAATCAGGTTCATGATCTTTAGAAATACTATGGTTCTAACACAAAAAAAATTGTATCCCAAGAGGGATCTGCCTGGGGACACCTCACTCATGTGCATCAGCATCAGTTCTTCTCATTTCCATCCATAGACCATTTCCAGCTGTTTATTTCCTAACTCAAGTCTACTCTGTATCTGCTTACTTGGAAACATCTTTAGAAATCCACACATGTCCCACTCTGGAAAATTTCTCTGAGGCAACACGAGGGTGCTGTGAGCTGAGAGGGGGACAGAAGCCGTGGTAGAACCCATGTCACGGGCACATTCTGTCAGCTGTCAGCCACAGTGACCACAAACATCCCATATTTATCATGTCTGCTTGCTTACTTATTCATACAACACTTAGAAATTGACTGACTTTGAATTGGGGAACAAAGGGCTCTAGAAATTTTTGAAATAACTGTGCCTCCATTAGCATCTCCCTTCACACAACCCTTTACGATAAAGGCTTTAGCAGCCTCCCATTATGAATACAAGAGTCCCTAAACCTCTCTTGGTGGGCATAAGTTGCCCAAGGCATTCTTGTACTGAAATTATTCTCATCCAGTGCTGCACACAATTAGAGAAGCCACTGCTGGCCACTGACAGTCTTGTTTTAAATAGAGGCCCTCCCGGGGCCTGAGTTGGTGGTCTTCCACAGCCAACTTCTCATTTTGCCTTGGGCCATGAATGCAGGACCCCTCATGCTTGCTAATCAGAAGAGTTTTTGTTGAACAGATATGGGTACTTACAGGATAGAGCAAAAATTGGTGCTTGTGGCATTTCCTCCTGAGAGGAGGAAGTGTGTTACCCTCGTCTCTGATTGATATAATCCATGTGGGAGAGTACACTTCCTTTACAGGCACAATGGCCACTTGGGGAGTCACCTGAGAGCACATGGGTAGCCAGCGTGTTCATATACTTTATAGAGAGTGTGCTGCCACCACAGCTGATGGAGTCCAGTGCAGAGATGCTGCGTTCTTTTCCTAGATCAAACAGGCCATGTTTGATCAAATATTGGACCCAAGTATCAGATCAATTTGTCAATCTCCAGATAATCATGTTAGTAACAGAAAATTCCCTGGCTAAGTATTGAACTCATGTGCAGATTTTTATAGGTCCTCTGGCATTACCAGTGATCTAGCTGTCTCATCCCAACACTAGCATCAACTCCTTATCTAAGGTGGCGCCTTTGGCATAAAGATCACTGGGAATATCTTGCCTC